TTGAATGCTTAGTCTAATCACCTAAATCCTTACGGATTATCTCTTGCGAGATGGGTTAGGTAATATTTGAATTCTTTTGAGTTAGCAGACAAATTTCTAAACCCTACTATTTCTACTAGATTTATCCCCCACCTTTTCTCACATTTAAATTCATATTTTTCTCCAGCAACAATAGAATCTAACAACCACTTAAAGTTTTCACGATTTTTTCATTCGAAGATGTAAAGAATTTTACCATCGGCTAGAGTAAATCGAATAGTTCGGTCATTATGTTTCGGACCATTTTCGCGAGTAGAATCTGGGCTTAGATTATGTCTTAATTTCTTTTCAGTTACTAGACCAGTTATCAAAGAAGTAATTGTCCTTGGTTTGTTGTCTTCTTCTTCAATCACTTGTTTTATTTCATTTCATGCTTCAAGTAATTGTTGGTCTTTTTTATCCAAAAGTTCATCTACCACTTTTGCACTTTGAACAATTTTTTCTCATTTTGGTCTTTTGATGTAAAGAGCTGGCATTAGATGTTTTCGATTTTTTGATGTTTTATTCAGTGTCGTTGAAGTTTAGGGCAAATATATTTCCCGGCGGGATCTTCTTGTGCTCTCTTACAACCCCAACAACCATTTTTATAAATTCCTTGCATGTTACTCGATCATTCCGCCGAAGAAATCATCTCAATCTTTTTTATATTGGTTTATAAATTGAGAACGCTTACTATCTTTATCTTTTTCATACTCTGCAACTAAATCAAAAAGCATACCAACTTTTTTTTCTAAGGCTTCAATGTAAAGATTACATAACTTATTTTTACATTTCGGTTTAGCAAAAATATTGTCGGTAATCTCACCTTTTTTTTTTAGAGGTGAGTTGTTGTTCTTATCCTTGTTTGCTTCAATTTTTTTTTTAGGATAAAGAGGTATTTCTATCTGTCCAGTGGCAGTTTTAATGAATATTTTTTTTTTTGACATTTGGTTTTTATAGGATAATAATTTTTACAATTTCACTTTTACTAATAAAAGGTTATTTGCCCTTCGATAATATTGAAAATCCTTGTTAGGCTATACTCACCGTTCCTTCTCCTAGGTTCTTTTAAAGTATAGCGACAGTTGCTCCAAACTAGGGCATCATTCGGAGGTGTCATGAGATAATCAATGTAGCAATTGAATGCTTAATCTAGTTTAATATTTCTTGAGAAGACCCAAGAAATGCCATATTCGGAGTAGAATAGGCAAGAGGATTAAACACTAGTAGGGAAATACTTCGATTATTTAAGGTATCATTCTACTCCAAAATGGCAGAAGAATTAAACTTGCGGATTAGTCCAAATTTTATTATTTAAGTATCATTCTACTCCAAAATGGCAGAAGAATTAAACGGCATCAATTATTTTTATTGCCTTGTATTTTTCTAGATGCCTTGCTTTTCTATCCGAGCAAGGCATTAAGGGTTTACCCTTAATATTTAGTACATATACCATATTTGTTTATAAAACCTCTGAATAAATTCAGATTTATTTGCCCTTCGTCAAGGTTGGAAATCCTTTTTAAGGCATGCTCACTGTTCCTTGCCCTTAGAACTTTTAAAACATGCCGACAGTTGCCACCGACTAGGGTATTATCTGTGGGTGTCGTGAGAAATCCAACATAGTCCACTAGGGACTGAGACTAATCACCTAAACTATTGCTAGTTTTCCGAAGAGGGGTTAGGTAATGTTCCGAAACAACAAAAGGAGTGTAATTCACCCTATAAACCAACTGCTGTTTCTTCTTCTTTTTCCGAATAGCGAAAGAAGACAAAGTAAGTAATTATTCCTAATACTAGAAGCAAAGGAAGACCAATAAAAGTTGTTTTAGCTAATCAGTTGAACTTAATTCTTTCACTTTTACCATTTACATTAGCAGTAGTAGATCAAGCACCTTCCGAATAATCTTTAATAATTATTTCTTTATTATCAGCAGTTTCAGCATCACCAGTCTTTCATCCTTTTGGTCTAACTTTTTGTTCCTCGCTCTTATTTTCAATTTCGTAATCCTTGTTGTTAAAATTAATGGTAATTTTACTCATATATTATTATACTTACTATTTTAGCATTTTATTTTTGTTAAGCGATTGTTCGTTCTGCTTTTTTTTAAAAGTCATTTTTAATTCTCCATTCATTATTTCTTTTGAAACACAAGTCAAAGAATTTTCTTGACAAACTTTCTCGATTATTTCATCCATATCTATCTCTGCTCGAAATTTGCTAGGGGGTTGCTTAACCAAATATTCTATTTTCTGTTTCTCTGAATTCATCTTGCTTAATTTGTCTGCAATATATTCTCCGCAATTTTTACAAATAGCAGTATCGTTTTTAAAATAAGGAAGGCAAAGTCATTCTAGGTCTCCCTTTTTAGAACAATTCGGCTTCTGAAAATCACATTCTTTTTGGACTAACTCTTCCTCTGCTATTTTTTTTCAATCAACTCGCTTAATTTTTATATTTTTAAAAATTTAGGAAAAGGTCTTTCTGAAATAACATGCATTTAGAGCAAGTTAATTTGTTTTCTCTATCCACTGTTCCCCCAGAACATTTTTTTAAACAAATATCGCATTTAGTATCAAAGCGAGGTTCAAGTCTTGATCTCATAATATCTATTTTAAAAATCCTCCTTCTTTAAATCACTAACTTCTTGCTTAACCAATATTACTTCTTCATGATGCTGACTTTCTGTTGCTAGATAGCAAGGGGTAAGAACTTTAATTTTGTCTTCTTCATAAAGATAAACAAAATCTTCACTTATCTCTCACCATGTTTCCAAACTAATATAAGGATTACCTCCTCTCGATGAAGCCTTTTTTTCATCTTTTCAACAATTAGAGCAAACTGGTTGCTGAATGCCATAAATAGGATTAAGGTTTTCGTGGCAAAATCCCATTAGGTCTTTTCTTTCTACCTTCCTACCACAGAAATCACAATCTTCTTTTTCTAAAACCTCGGATATTTCTTCTTCCAACTCCTTACTGACTACTTCATTTTTTCTAATAGTGTCGTTTAGTTTCATTACCCCCTTACAAATATTAGGATTATCATCAATCACTAAATCGAAATCAGAAGCATATTTTTTAATTCATTCTGCTTTGCTTTGCCCTTTGTTTTCACTTTCAAAAGGGATTAATTTCATAGCACAAAGTAGACCTTCAGCAGTATCTTCATTGTTATCAGTAGAACCGCCAACCACTTTACCAAAAGTTTCTCCGAATATTTTTATTTTTCTATCATCACCATTAGGAAACTTCCTTTTATCGTAAGCACTTAAAAATATTAACCTATCTACTTTATCTTCCTTTATTAACTTCAATAAATCCTCCGCAATAGTTAAAAAGGGGGCTTGCTGGTAGAAGTCTGGAGAATTTTTGATTTCTTTTTGGTTCTCCAATACTTTTTTAGCAGAAAAAGAATTTCCAAATTCTAAACGAGAACCATAAGGAGAATATTTTACCTTAGTTTCTTTTCAAAAAACTTCAAAGAACTTGGAAGAAAATCCTTCATTACATAAAGCATAAGGCTCGCATGCTTGAATTACTTCATCTCAATCGCAAATAATTTTTAATTTCTTGGGTGTATTTTTGTAATGGTCGTATAGACTTATTATTTTTTCTGACATTTTTTTAAATATTTATTATTGTATGCTTCATCAATTTTACTTGGCATATAAACTACTGGTTCTCTAAAGACAGAGAAACCATCTGCTTCATATTTTTTTGTTTCAAGTTCAACCTCTAATCGCTTGCTATATCTCAACTGCCGTTCTTCTCTTTTTAAGGGATTAATATGTTGGAGTCAATCTCCACCTTTGTCTTTTCGAGGAGGCAAATTTAACTCTTTATCTATTCAAGCTTCAAAATAATCCATTTTAGCATAAAAGTTATCATCATGCTCGTGATCCACTTCTTTCTTACTAACTATTTTGTTTTTGTTTTTAAGAAGTCTGTTGTGAAAGAGATAAACATGGGTAAATTCATGAACTGCCGTTAATCTTCATAAATCAGTGAAAGGATAATGGTTTAAAAGATAAACAGTGTAAGTGGTATATGGATAACTTGTCCAACTTCACCATTTAAAAAAAAGAAATCATCTTTCATATCAGGATACAGAATAATTAACATTTCCGTAAACCTCTCCATTATCATCATCTCCTTTGAATTTATCAAGGTTTTCTCTGAAATCAAACTTTATTTTACAATATTCATTTAACCGAATAAACTTCTTGGATAAATGGTTAAAATACTTTTTTATTTCTTCTTTATTCATTTTTTTCTTTTACTTTTTTTACAATTTTTTTCACTGTTTGATCTATTACCTTTTCGCTACTTTTATCCAATCGGAATTGTTTATAACTAACCCCATGTTTTTCAGTAAACACCTTTTCCAAACATTCTAGGCAAATTTTTACATTCTAGGCAAATTTTTTTGTCTTCTTGAATTGCTACTATTTTAAATACTTGTGAACAAATATCACATTTAGCATTGAACTTGTAAATTAAACTTTTTTCCATAGTTTTAAAATACTCCATCTTCTAACTGATGAATGTAATCTGATTTGCTACATTTTTTACAAACTATTCGAGTATGTTTTTCTTGGCATTGAAGTTTTAATTTCTCGTGATCTGCCTTTTCAATTAGGACTTTGTTTTGACAATCTTTAACCCAACATTTAATTCCTTTTTCTCGGTAGAAGTGTTCTTTGAATTGATTATTTCATTTTTCATCATAGTCCATTAAATCGATAACCATGTTGAATCTTTTGCCTATGTTGACAAGGAGGTTGTTTTTTGCATCTACTAGATAAAATAATTCATGACCTTTTTCGTCTCCACTTCCTCTATAAAATTGTTTAGCGTTATTTTTAAGAACCAACTCTCCACTTTCTAATTTTTTAATTAATTGTAATAATAATTCTTTATTTTCCATAATTTTATACTCATTTTCTCATAGGGTCTTTTTTTGCTTCTATCACTTTTCTGAATTTGAAGAAACATGCAAGTCTAGTTTTTTGTGGATCTATTCCTCTTTCTCGTACAAGAGCAAACCCTAATTTGGAAGCTTTTAATCTCAACTCATAGGAATTTTTTTCTTTGTTTATAACCACTTTGAATAATGTTCCCAATATTTCAATGTCTGACTTTTTTAATTTATTCATATACAATTATTTTTCTTATTATTTTTATTGTTTCTTTATCGCTGTTTTCTTTCATTCGTTGTTTATCTTTGCCCATATTTTTCATTTTGTTCAAAAACATCTAGCATTATTTGATTGGTCATATTTTCCATAAGATGGTTTACTAAATAACTTTCTCTATTTGCTTTTATAAGTCTAATAAAAATATCATTAGATAATCTTTCAAAATATAATGTTTCTTCAAATCTTACAAAGAAATAAATATACTCATTATCTAATTCAACTTTTAAATTATTTAAAATGAACTTTCCAGTTTTTATTTCTGCTTCGGTTCTATCTTCCCAAAATTTAAGAATTTGTGGTTTAAAGTGTTTGTATAAGTTTGTTATTATTTTTTTTGACATAGTCTTTTTTTTAAATGTCCTTCTTCAAGGGTAAGGTTTTCTAAATTAAGCCTCCATATGCTTTTTTCATAACTATCCCCAATATAAAGCACTTCAACATTTTCTCCATCTATTTCAACTGTCTCTGTTTGGATTGTTTCGGTTTTAAGTCTTTTATGTAATTCTCCTAATAAACTTTCATCAGTTATATCGGATAAACCTGTAAATGTTCCTCTGCTATGGTAAAAGGTAATTAAAATATCTCTAATTGCTTCTAACACTGGATAAACCTCTTGTGCTACTCCTGTGTTTTCAAAATCATTCATTGCCATTGCTAACCTATCATATTGATACGGTTTTTTTATTTTATCTCACTTTGCTTTTTGTTCTTTTTCTGTTTTATTCATTATTATTATATATTATTGTTTTTTTCTTTGACGTTCCCATAATTAGGATTATTGGTTAACACAGTTTTAATCCTTGTTTGTTCTTTTGCCATTAATTTTTTGGTCTCTTCTATTGCCTTATTAATTTCAACCATTAATAAAAACACTCTTTTTTTATATTCAATGTCAGCAGTTTCAAAATGAGGAGCTTTTATTGTTTCTTGCCATTCAGACAATCACCCCTCTAATTTGTTTAAATCCTTGGATAAGTCATTAATATTAATAGTTGATTGTTTAATAATTTTCTCTTTCAGTATTTTTATTTCTTGGTCTTTCTCACCATTAAGTCTTACCAATTCTTCTAATTCTCTCAATTCTTTTTCTTGTTTAAAGTATTTTGAAGTAGATATTTCAATTGCTATTCAAAAACCTATAATTACACTGAGAAAAATAATACTTGTTCATCTCAGCAATTCACTCTTACATGTTATAGCAATAGCCAAAAGAAAGGAACTACAAAATGAATTGAGTATTCTTATTAATATTAAGCCAATTTTAATTAAAAAGTAATTTTCAAACATTTACCACTATTAGAATTATCACTGCTAAAATAAATAGAAATCTTATTAGTTTAGAAAAGAAGTAAGATAAAATAGCACCAATAATAAAACTGATTAGGATTATATTGAATATCTCTCGATAAGTTAAGTTTATTTCATTCATTATTAGTATTTTCTTTTATTCTTTTTCATTGAAAAATAAACAATTATTCCTATTAAACTTATAATTAATCCGCCTCCTATAATCCAAGTTTCCTTTCTTTGAAAAAAAGATGGTGAAGTTGGTTGAGTATTATTGCTACTTTCTTTATTAGTTAGTTCATTTTTTACTTTATTTAGTGATTGTTTGACCCATGCTAATTCAACCTCCAAAGTAGGTTTATCATTTTGGTTATTGGCTTTATTAATTAATGCTTCTAACCTTTTTACTTCTTGCTCTAATTTAACTTTCTCATCCCTTAACTTTTCAACTTTTCAATCATGGCAATTTAAAGGTGGTTTCGACTTTGGTTTAGGTGTTGGGGTTGGAATTGGTTCTGGAGTAGGAATTTTAGGTGGCAACTCTGGCAATGGTTCTTGTGGTTTGCCTTGCTGTTTTCATAATAGTTTTCTAATTGGCTCTCATTTTCGAATATCAAATCACAATCCATTGTAAGCAATAAGATGTCTCCGACCTGATTTGTGTTTAATCTCCACTCCTTCCAAATATGCAGAATATCTTTTTTGACTTTCGGTTAAAGGGGGTTCAAGTTCATCAAATTTTATTTCTTGGATAGTCCAATCTTGGATATTTTCCTCTATTTCTTTAATAAACTTATCGAAAACAATGTTGTCTTTTCAACTATTGTCATAAAGATAAACAGTCTCCGACCTATTTTTAGTTTGACAAATCTTTCCTTCTAAGCATATTTCTCATTCACTTAGATTTTTTAATACCTTGTCTTTTGTTATTCTTTCTTGACCTATTTTAATGTTTTCTGTCATAATTTTATATGAACATTATATTTCTTTTATTTTATTAATCCTTGCCGACCAATGAATTGAAATCCTATGGTCATAGTTATCAAAACACCAATCGGCAAGTATATGCAGGGAGAGCTAGGTCTTGCCAAACCTTCTCTCCCATGTAGGTTAAATGACCCTTGCCCAACTAGAGAAATTAAAATGACGATTTAAAAAAAACTAGCGAGCAAGGGAATAATTTTGAGCAAGCTAGGAACTAACTAACTTGCCCCATATTGATGTTATTCAGTAAGTTCCTTAAATTCAGTTCCTAAACCATTAATTTTATCTAGTAGTTCATCACACTCTTTTAATAACCTATCAATCTTTTCTGCTTTCTTTTCCTCTGTTATTTGGGTTCTTTTTCTTTCAAGGATTTTTAAGAGTTTACTGATTTGGTTAAGTATTTCAATACCTTTTTCTTTTTTTAGGTTCATTAGAAATTATTTATCTTTATGATATTGAGGGCAATTAGAACACTCATCCATGCATAATGGACATTTTACTTTATCTCTTTTAATTTTATTTTCTGTCATACATTTAATTTTGATAATTTTTACTTACTTTTAGTAAGTGGGATAACTAACAACCCAATCAACTAAACTGTTTTTAAATATTCACTTAAATAATGAAAAACTAATAAAAGCAATCCCAAGAAAATTATTATTGGTATCAAAACTTTTTTCCTTAAAAATACTTTTGGTTTACAAGAAACAAGAATGACAAACAATACAAACAGACCATATCATAAGATACCTAAAATAAAACCTCAACTTCGTCAAAAAGCCCAACATCCTATATTTGCCATATTACATTATTTGGCACTTCTCTTTTGGAGGAATTAAAATCTGTTGTTCTAGTTGCTCGAATCTCCAATTATTACTTAAACCTAATTTTTTCTTACTTTCATTTATTTCATCACATATCTTTATAGTTTGCCCTTTGTTATTATTAGAAGTTCTATTGTTTGCTCTTACAGCATCCACTATCAAACTCCACCATAAAGGTTTAATCCTGAACTGAAATAAAGTTCCTCACAAACTAGTCAAGTTATTATCATAACCATATTTTCCAAAAAAATGTTTTCATCCAAGTTTTTCTATTTCAGCAATTTGAGGAGAATAATTTATTCCATAAGCAAGCATAAAAGCAAAGTGTTCACAATTACGATTAAACAAGTCATAATTATTTTTTCAATAATTACTTTGTTCTATCCAAGCAATTCGTTGTTTTACATCACTCCAATGAATAAAAGGAATAAACTGTCTGAACTCTTCCACATTTCCACTTCTCTTAGTAGTAGCAGTATCTCCTAAGAATAAACTAATATTAGTGGTTTGAGCTTTCATATTTTTCTCATCCTCTGAATAACCATAAACATGACAGACTTGGTTCTTTCCTAAATAAACTCCTACATGTTTAAAAGGAGTATTTAACATCTTATGCCTTTTTTCCACTCTAATAACACTTAAAGGTTTAATTTGACTATCTCAATCATATGGGTCAGAATATACTATTTTTTTTGTTATATAAGGTTCTTTAAAAATCTCATCGAAAGTTAGTCAACTGTTAGGGTTGGGATAAATAGCAAGGATTGGATTGTTATAAAACTTTCCACTTGCTGCCATTCCACCATCCATTAAATAATTTCTTAAATTTCTTGCATTTGAACTAGCTCACTGTAATTCACTATATTTTCTCTTTCCGACCTCTCCTCAATATTCACAAGAACGGTCAGTGGGAAATACTCTCAATTCTCCTTCTTGGTAAACCAATAAGAATGCTTGATAATAACCATCATAATAAGAAACAACAGTAGCAATATTATTATTTCATCAAGTGCTAAATACTTCTACTTCCTTAATATTACCTAAAAAATTTGCCCTTTCTTCAACCAATTGTTTTTGTTTCGGGATGCTCTGCTAAACAATCTACCCATTTTTTACATGGATAACAATACCATTCTCCTACTACGTTATGTTCTTCTATATGAGTTGCTACTCATGGATGATTGAAACTGTAATTTTGTTCGTAATCCTTGGTTGCATCTAAATCAATCCTTAAACAATAACCAACTTTAAACCCATTAAAAGGAAAAAGATTTGTAGTATAAAATCAGTTAACATTAACATTATTTTTATAATTCACTTCTTTATCCAAATCAAACCGAATATAGTTTCTGTTTTTGCTTATATCTTTAATTAGATAAGTTTTATAATTTGTCATGGTTTTTTATTAATTCTTATTACTTTGCTTGCCGACTGAGAGCAAAACTTCTTGGGGAAAGCTTCAATCGGCAAGTGGTAGGGAGTTAAATCTCTCAACTTACTCCCACGTTATTCATACCCCCCATAATCCCTTACTAATACTTTTAAAAGTTAGGAAATAGAGTATACAAAGTTCTATTATCAGCAAGGGCAAAAAGGGGTAATCATGGAAATTAAACACATCGATAAATCAATAAACATTAAATGCTTTCTTTTTCATCATTAGCGGGAAAATAGTAAATCACAACTATTCCCCCATATTTACCCACCCTCAAAAAATAATATGCAATAACTTAAAAAGGGTGGGTTTTCTTACCTCAAAAATTATGAAAAAAAAGAGGTAAAGGTCTTTACTTCCTTCTGCTAACCGAGGGAATTAAGCGATAAAAAGAACTCGGTCAACAAAAGAAAAGTAAAGATTAGGTCGGGAATGAACCTTGTTACAAATTCACCCCCATGTTATTCATATACCCACCTGCCATATTGCGCCAGCGTAAAAACAAGGTGGGCTTCTCTACTGTTCCAATCAGCACAGAAACTATTAGGCATGTTACACTATTTATACTTTGAAAAACAACTATTACAGATTTCTCGTTTTCTGCCTGTCTTAGTTTTTCTCAGACTTATCTCGGATTTGGGAAATTCAATTCCACAATAGAAACAAAATTCTTTATTATTATTCATAGATTATAGTCGTATACAAACCCCACCCCATCAAAAAAAAGGTGGGGAAAACATTAATGACCTCCCCCCCCAAATCAAAAAATAAAAAAAAGAGGAGGTTTGCCCCTTGCCTATTCAGTAGCAAGGGGGACAAAAGAACATGTTTTTTACTATACTAGAAAAACCTTACAACCTCAGAGAGAGAAGAAATTGCTTCGGTCTTTTTATCAGTATAGAGGGAAAAAGATAAACACTTCTACCAACTGGTAAGAAGCAAAACCCAAGAAGTAGAAACTCAACCTTTTTAATATCCATTTCCTACTAAGTCATTATGATAAATCAAAATTAATTAATATTCAAACAAATATTATATTCCGATAAAGAATGAAAAAATCGGTGTTGGGCAAGGTTATTTCGGATAACCCAACCACCAACTTTTATTAAATAACTCACAGACACCCCCAATCTTTTTAATTCCCTAATTTCTGCTTATTAATTAAGTAAATATGCAACTAATTACTAAATAGATTAAAGTTAATACGATAAAAATATGCTTCAATTCAAAAATAACAATTAAAAGAATTGGTTTTGCTAGGCAAGATTGTTCGGGAAACCTAACATTTATTCTTTGTTGCCACTCTTCACAAGTCAGTAAATAAAAGCAACTAAAAAAATAATTCCAAAAGTAATTGCTACTCCAAGTACTATTCTATCCCTAGTTCGATAATATTTTCAGCAGTCAGGGCAATGAAAGTTTTGTCTACCGGCTAATATTGGATGTTTTTTTTTTTATGTGGTTCAACAACAGTTACAGCAACTCTCCAATTCAGGTTCATAACCAGTACAGTGATTAAACCCAGGG